ATTTTCTGCTAGAACACTGACATTCTAAAAAGCTGCTTATTTGGGAAGAGTGAAAAGGTTAATGCACTCTGGAGAAATCGGAGGCATGAAACAGCCAAATGACCTGTAGCAAGGCTTTCTTGTCCATACTCATTTCTTATTTTATGTCAGCTACTGGATTTGTAAGGAAGGGATGGAAGTATGCCAGGCTTACAAGAGAACCATGAGTCAGATTGTAGCTTAAATTTTGTAAATGTTGTTGCTAAAAGAGTCAGACTGTATGTCAGAGAATGAGAAGGGTACAGCCCTGAGATGAGTGGCAGTCTCTGCTCTACTACTATGCCAACTCTGCTGAGCGAGAGAGGACCTTGCCCTTAGCGATGTTAAATTTGTCTCATAGACTTGACAGTGGATCACAGATTGAGGACAGTTGGGGAGGAGAGGTGGGGAAGGATGAAAAACACCAAAAGCGTGTGTGTGTGTGTGTGTGTGTGTGTGTGTGTGTGTGTGTGTGTGTGTGCGTGTGATCAAGGGACATATTTGGAGAAACCTACAGACTGGGGATGGGGATTTCAGTGGGAATAGTTCAAGGCTCAGTAACAAGGTTCCTATTCAGGACAATCTTAGAATATCTGGTTTAGACTGGGCCATTCGTCTGGTCTCTGTACCTTTGATTTATGGCTTCATTTTGGTGATGACTGGGATCAGATACAACTACTAGACACGGCTGGCCTTGAGCACACTTATGAAGTAAGCTTAGTTTATCTTCAGAATCCCAAGTCCCTTCTTTCTATGCCTTGCTCAGACAAAGCTTTTTGCTTTGTGGGGAATGGAAATAACATCCACAGATAGGAGGCATCCACATTTAAAATTCATTTAGACAAAAAAGGAGGGTGGGTTAGAATAAAATTTCATCATCAGAGGAATAGAATTTGAGTTGGAAGAAATACTAGGGGCCATTGAGTCCAGTCCCTCCATTTTGAAAATGAGGAAACTGAGACAGAGATTAAGTGATTTGCCCATGGTCAAACAACAAGTAAACAAGCATCTGAGGCGGAATTTGAACCCAGGTCCACTTGATTCCAAGTCCAATGCCTTGCCTCACGTTGTACCTCAATTCAGTTGAATTCATATTACATTTATCAATGTGTAAAGCTCTCTGCTAGACTTCAACTTCAATGAGCTATGATTCTTTTAGTTCAAATATTCCCTCCACTGTCGCAGATGAAAAACCCTCTGTGACTCAGTGGATGGTCCAGGAGATGATCTTCAAGAGTTCCTGCGACCAGAAGAATCATCACCACACGGTCAACTTGATGACGGGTCTCTGCAAATTTAACTAGGTTGGTCCTCAACTAGGTTGGCTCATATCCTTTCCAAATAAGCAAGACCTACCAGAGTCTTGACTATATTGTCATATCCACTGAAAACCCAAGATCTAAAGACAGTGTTGCTTGAGGGATAGAGAAATGGTCTCAGGATCAGGAAGAAGTCCTGCATGCTGGTTCTGAGACTGTGGGAAAATTATTTAACCTCTTAATACCTCAGCCAAGTCTTTAAGATTAAATGTCAACTTGCAGTGATAGAAGGGATCCTCTCACTAGGAGTTCTTTATCCATATGAAATTAATTATATGTTCAGTGGATAAATTGGGGGGAGGGAAGGGAGGGAGAGACAGAGAGGGGGAGAGAAAGAGTAAAAGACAGAGAGGGGAAAAGAGAGGAAAAGGGAAAGGGAGGGAGGGGGAGAGAAAAATAGAGAGAGACACACACAGGGAGAAAGAGAGACAGACTGAGACAGAGAAGGACATAGACAAAGAGAGACAGAAAACTCTGTCTATATATGAACTCTGGAAGAAGAATAGGACTTGAATGGATGGGGTAGCTCAAACCTATTTGGCTGTCTTTTTTTTTTAACCCTAGGTTAACCACAGACTGTTTCAGCTCCTCAGATCTTGTCACCTCCACATTTCTAACCTTTCCTACCTGCTATCTCAGTCCCTAACCACTCCCTGCCTCTTCCTTCTTTTGCTTGGTCATATTAGATACCAAGTACTGTACTATATGCTCAGGATAAAAATACAAAAGCAAAGATCTTGCTGCTCTCAAGGAACTACATTAGGACAGGGGAAAGACAATCCATCTTAGCTCTTGGTGGGCAGGGGAAGGATCCCATCTCTTGCTTCTGGCCCCTCACAAACTGAAACTTGATTGCTATAAACTCTTCCACCTTGAGCAAATGCAGCCCCACCAGCATTGTACCTGCATGTCCACAAACAATATTATCAAGGAGAATCTATTAGTTCTCCCTCTTCCCTTCAATTTATTACGTAAGGTCATGTATTCAATCACTATACCTCAGAAAATGGTAAAAAAAAAAAACCAAGCCTCAAAGACCAGCCAGTAGTGTTGCTAACACATGGTTGCCTTATTACTCCTTCACCACAGACATATCCATCATAGACATATAGATATAGCAACAGACCAGTAGAACCTTACAATATGACCCTGATCCTCAAGGGGACACAGACAAGAAAATCTTGTCTTGATGCAGTGACTGCCTAAGCCTAGGTAAAGCGCATGAAATTCACACTCTGAAGGGAAGTGGGATGTATCATGCTCAGCTGCAGGGGCAGTAGCTGTCCTTAGGATATACAATAATCTTGATAAATAATTATATGGCAAACACAGTTCAGACTCAGAGCTGGCATACTAGATAACTTCAGAAAGCTGAAGCATCTGATAAGTAGAGATGACAACCAGCAATGGATGGAGGCCATCTGCTGTACCTTATAGCACCTGCTCTCAGTTGGGCAGGCAATACTCAACCACATGGTGCTCATTAGTGGAGTATCCTGCTAGCAGCCCCATCTCTGCTGCTTAGCACCAAAGGCATTGGTGGCCACATGGACAATCCACCACTCTTAGCAGCTAGGCATTCATCATTTGCCAATGCACCCAAAACGATGGATCACCCACTTTTGCATGTGTGTTTTCCATCATATGGAAATGACCAGAGAGGTAACTGAGGAAGATGACATCAACAGGCACAAAAACAAAAACAAAAAAAGGAAAGAATGTGAACTTCTCTTCCTATTCTTCACAACCACTGAAGTGATACTAGCATCTGGCATTTCTGTAGTGCTTTAAGTTTGGCAAAGCAATTTACAAATAATATCTCATTTGATCCTCACAACATCCCTGGAGGGTAAATACTATCATTAATCCCATTTTATAGATGAGGAAATCGAAGACAGATAAGAGGTTAAGTGATTTGCTTAGGATAACATGGCTAGTAAATGGCTGAGGCTGGATTTGAAATCAAGCCTTCCTTATTCCAGGTCCAACTCTCTACTGCGCCACCAGCTGCCTCTGAAGTCTTCCTCACCACCCTGAAAGTTTCTAGGCCATTCTGATTTCAAATGTTAGAGAATACTTTTCACATTTATCAGGTTCTCAGAACCTGTTCCAATGATGGAGAAAGCCACTTGGGATGGCTCCTAGCTCTGGGGAAACTAGGAATGCCCTTTCATTGGCTTAAGCTTTGCAGTTGTATGTTCTTCTCCTCCTACAGAGCAACTCTACACAACTCTGGGGGCTGCTCTTAGAACCTAAGACATTAACTTGCAGGAAAATAAGTTTGGGTCAATATAAAGAAGGAACTTTCTAAGCATCAGAACATTCTGAAATTTCAATTGGCTTCTTTACAGGTAATGAGTTCTCCATCAATGGAGATTTTCAGAAAAAAGACAGATAACTTTGAGTATTGGTAGGTTCTTGCATCAGGTGGGAAGTTACACTAGATAAGAATAGCTTGCATTTATACAACATTTTGAAATTTTCGAAGCCTCCAACCCCATGGCATAGTATCAATATCATTTTAAAGATGATGAAACTGAGGCTCAAAATTAGAAGTTAACTTTTCTAAGGTCACACAATGAATGACAGAATGGGAGTGGGGCAGACTTGAACTAAGATCCAGTGGTCTTTGCACTATGCACTTTAAAGTCCCTCCAACTCCAAGACACTGAAAGCATGAATACTCTGAGGCTGCCTCTGTTTACTAGCCTTTTGACTTTGTTAAGGCTTGGGAAAATGCAAACACAGGGGTTTGGAAAAGTTAAGTTGTTGTGTTAGGGCCTCGGACAAGGACTTTGGGAAGGCTGAATACTGAGATTAAAAACAGATTTTTGAAAGGGATGGGACCTAGATCCAAGGAGTTAATTTCATTTTGTATGGTCCTTTTGGATATTCCCAGGCAATGAGAAGGGTATGGGAGAAAATGTTAAGGAGGAAGAGCGATTCTCTGCTCCTCTGGAGTTTGTAGTGGTTTTGGTTGTTTACAGAAAATGACTCAGATCCAGGTGGTTTTCTAGTATTTCTAGCTTGATTGCATACTTAGGATCCCTGGGAAATTTCCCAGAAATGGGTATGTCATTGTGTGTCTCAACCAGGATATCAGCCATTGTAAAGTGGCCAGGGGAACTGTGTGTGGGGAAGGGGAGTAGTGTTTCCCATTGACCCTCTCCCTTCCACCCCAGGCATTTGCTTTAGCTATACTTTGTACGCCCATTACCAATCTTTAGGTTTTAAATAAACCTGCAATAATGAAGTCTTTCTGAAATAGCCTAGGGATGCAACTTTGAGAAGTCACTTTTCTGAGACTCTGGCTCAGCCTTAGGTGCTGTCTGAAAGTTCTAGACCTAAGAGTTCTTGGAATCAGGGCTTCCTTTACTCTCCATCCCCTTTCTCCTCTGAGAGCTGTGAGCATGGACTTGGGCAAATTACTTACCCTTTCTATGCCTTAGTTCACATCTGTAAAATTGTGAGGACTGGACAAAATGTCCTCCAGGGTCTTTTCAGCCCAGAATTTATGATTCTATTATTTTATGACTGGAAATGTATGCAATTGAAAATTCCTTGTTGATTCAGTAGTGCCTTAGAATGGGAAAAGGATGTTGACTCTAGCCTAGAGTTTTCTCCTAGTCTACAAAGTGGAAGCAGGGGTCAGGGTTTCTGTACCTTCTTTTATTGGTGCTTCGGGGGCAAGTGAATGATGATCCTGAGAGCTGCTCAGCATACAGGTTATATGGGCAGATCTGAGGGTTATTCTGAAATTTAAAAAGATAATAAGTAATAAACAAAACTATTCCAAAAGAAAAGTTATTCCAGTCATTAAGCACTCATATTAAAATATAACAGAATCCAATGTGGGGAGACCCAGGTATAAATGTATAAGCGATGGAACAGGATTGTAGAGGACTGATTTCATGAACCCCTAGACCCTAGGAAGGAGGCCATATACCCATAGAGAAGAGCATAGTTTTGGATTAGATTGGCTCTTTATTTAGGGGAAGTGCTCCTCTCCCCAACACACACACACACACACACACACACACACACACATACATACATACACACATACATACATATGTACATGCATACATGCATACATACATACAGGGAAATCCTGTAATTAGCTGACTCCATACACACTGAGCCTAGTGCACGGAATTATCAGCAGTTGGGCCCTGACAACCTCCACTTGACCATTGTACAACCAATGGCCTACATGATAAAACATTCCCAACCAACGCATTAACAAACGTTATTAATCTGCTGGGTGACAGGCACTGTTCCAGATACAGAGAAGGCAAAGACAAAAACGAAAAAGTCTCTGCCTTCAAGGAACTTCAATTCTGTCTAGAAAATCCTACATGGGTCCCAATTGTTTTAGTGACTAGCTGGAGCCCATATGAGGTTTTGGCCATGTGTTAATTAAGCCTCCTTCCTCCAGCAGAGATAATAAATCAGCTACACTGAATACTCCGTACCTGTCCCTCTGGCAGGGCTCCTGGGCAGCGTGGATCCTCTGAGGCAAACTCATTTCCAAATCCTGAAATGTACTGCATTAAAGAAAGACACAACAAATAAGTGAATTAAAGAAGGTGGATTAAAAAACAACTTTTTGTAACTTCTATAACTGTGTCTACAGGAGAGATAAACAATTAGCCCCCCAATGGTTCCTTGGGTGATGACTCACCTACTCCACTCCTCACCTGCTTTGGCACCCACTCATCTTCACTGTCTCACCTATTATCTATTTTCCCACCCTTTCTGACATCCACTGAGCTGTATTCTTTCACATCCAATAACCCGTAGAGTTAGAAGGGAAAGTATGGGTCATGTAGTCCAACTCCCTACCTGAAGCAAGAATCCCTTATGTCACACACCAGACAAGTAGCCTTTTGTCAAGCTTCATTTTGAACACTTTTTTATGGGGAGCTCACTATCTCATACAATTTTATTTTGGGTTGAGTCTATTTATTAAGTTCTTGCAATGGTCTGAAAGTTGCTTCTCTGACACCTTTGCTCCCTAGTTCTGTTCCCTGGAACCACGCAGAGCATGTCTAATTCCTATTTGATAGCACATACACTTTTTGAAGACATACTCTATCTCAATCTTCTCTTCTCTAAGCTAAACATTCACAATTTCCTTTAACCTATCTTACAGAACATTAATTTCAAGAGCCCTTGCTTACTCTCCTTGGGATAAATTCCAACATGTCAGTTTGTTGTTATTCAGTCAAATGCAGTACCCAGAACTGAACACAATACCCCAGGTACGTCCTGACCAGTATGGAAAACAGTGAGTTCTCCATCACTGGAGATTTTCAGAAAAAAGATGGATAACTTTCAATATTGGTAGGTTCTTGCATCAGGTGGGAATTTAGACTATTACTTGAAGTATGTATCTATTTCTATGATTTCTGTGGTTCTCAGTGTACCGGTACATATGTCCATAGGCACAGTAATATTTGAGTCCCACCTGGAGGATGCCTGGTCTTCAAGGATTATCAATTATTAGACACCAGGTGGCCAAGATTAGAAGGATGCCCACCAATAAAATTACCTGTAATGACTGGCTTGACTCCCTGTCTTTGGAGCTACCCAGCTGGCCACTTAACCTGTAGGCTTAGTTCTGCCCTAGACTGTAGGAATAATCCAGCTTCTAAGGCAGGGGATATATAGATCTAGTCATATAAATCTGTGTAAGTTAGGTAGCTTAGTGTCACATGGCTGCTTTTCTTGACAATGAATCCTGGTTCTAGTAACTAGGCTATTCTATTGTCTCCTTCTCTGTACCCCAGTCCTACCAAATGGATTTGTCTTGCTTCCCTCATATTCAAATCTGTCCCCTGGTACCCTGCCCCATGTCTTAGTTCCTCCAAAACTGTGGTTTTTCCTTGTTGTCACCAGTTCTCCCAATAACTAGTATCCTATCTTCCATCCCAGTCCTAGTAGGTGGGTCTCCAATCTTTGCTGCCAGACCACTCTGCTCCTAAATACCCACCTTCCTGAGTTGCTGAACCCTATTTGATGCCAAATTACCCTGATGTCATGATGATGATTTTTTCATCCTAATGGTGCCCATACCAATGGCATATTGGCCAGAGAGTGCTCTTCTTGAAGAAGGAAGTAGATTTCTGAAAATCAAATGTATCCATGCTCGTGACCCAGAGCCTCTCAGGGTATAGTAGTGTAAAAGGTGGTAGTAGTATACTTCAAGGGATGCTTAGCAGTCCACCTATGCAGGTGATTCCAAAGGTCATTCATGCTACTGGTCTTTATCTTTGTGAGTATGTCTTGGTACAGTCTCTATGTAGGAGCATCTCTATATATGCTTCCTTGAATCTTTGCATATTCTGAATCTGTAAATCTTTTATTTAGCATGCAATAAATAATACTGTACTCATTCTCTTAATATTTTTAAAACATTTATTGTATTTTTAATTAAAAAGCTTTTATTTTCTCTCTATCCCAAGTGCTCCCTATTGAAAAATTAAAAAAAAACAACTTGTAACTAATACGTATAGTTAAGTAAAACAAATTCCTCCATTGATCATGTTCAAAACCATAAGTTGCATTCTGTTTCTTGAACCTATTGCCTCTCTGTCAGGAAGAGGGTAGCATTCTTTGTCACTGATCCTCTGAAATTATAGTTGGTCATTGCATTAATCAGAGTTCTTGGGTCTTTCAAAGTTGTTCATCTTTTCATAATATCTTAATAAAAACTCCTCTTAGATCTTTGCCATTCTCCTGTTACCTAGATATCCATGTCCCCTAAAGTTTAATCTATGACCCCCTACTCTTTTCTCTATACAGCTGATACTGTTCCTGGGATAAATTACCTAATTTCATGGCTTAAAATTTTATGATTAGAATCCAAATGCCTTAGTCTGGTATTTTAGACCCTCTTTAGGGTCACTCATGACAGCCCCACTCTAACAAGAAGCCATTTTTTCCTCCCTAGATTTAATGGATTTCCCTCTCCACTCCTACCGTCCTACTATGTCTGAGCCTGAACTGTTATCTCTGTGCCCCTTGTCAGGACTCATCCTAGGACTCCACTTGGCTTCCATACAGATAGAAGGGGAAGTAAGGGGTGAAGAAACAGAACTCAGAATTGACTTGATCCATTAAAATTTGGATAGGACTACGTGCTTTGACATGCAGAGGATCTCCCTTCCAGCTACCATTATAGGTCTCTTCTCTCATTCATGGATAAAGCTCTAGAAAAGCTTCACCCACTTCCTCTATTTCCTCAGCATCTGCTCTCTCCTGGATATGTAAGTGGAGTGACAAGGACAGACACACAATATGTTATGGAGGCATGTACAACACGACTTGACAAGTCATTAAATATAGGAGTTGATGGAGAATAAAGAATCCAGGATGGCTCCAAGGTTGTGAACCTGAGTGACTAGAAGGACTTGGGTACCCTCATTAGAAATTGAGAAGTGTTGGGGGCAGGGATGAGTTTTAGGGGAAATCTAGTGAGTTCCATTTTTGGATTTAGAGTTTGAGATGTTTATAGGTCATCTTAGCAGAGATAGCTGGCAGGCAGTTGGTAATACTGTACTGCATAAGAGAGAGATTATAGTGGATAAATAGACTTTGTAATCATCTGCATGGAGATTATAATTGGACCCATGAGAACTGATGAGATGACCAAGGGGAAGGGTATAAAGAGAAAAGGAATTCAGGACAGAGCCTTGAGACATACCCACAATTAGAGGGCAGAAATGGATGGTGATCCTGCAAAGGATATGGAAAACTAGTGGTCAGATGAGAAGAAAGATGGAGACTGACAAAAGGCCATTGGAGCTAGTAGTTAAAAGATCATTGATAACCTTGGAGCAGTCAGTTTCAGTCAAGTGGTGAAGTCAGAAGTCAGATTGAAAGGGATTGTGAAGTGAGTGAAAAGTAACGAAGTGGAAGCAGCAGGTGTAGGTGACTTTTTCTGGAGTTTTGACTATGAAAAAAAGGTAAACACAAGATAATAGCCTGAACACATGGGAGACCTTGGTGTATTTGTAGGCAGCTAGGATGGATGTAAGAGATACAGAAAGACTGTAAACTTGGGTGACTGGAAAGGTAGTATTGCTTCAATAGAAACAGGGAAGAAGGGTGGGATTGTGAGAAAGACAATGTAATGATATTGGCAATGCAGATCACAGCCCATCTATGCAAGATCATCCTTTGAGACTCAGTGCAACCCAAAATGAAAAGTGGGGCAGTCTTATTTACCAGTCACTACCCCAGAGCTAAGAGCTCACCCTCCTAAAGATGCCTGCTATTGCTAGTAGATGATCTGGAGGGCAGGGCATGGGAATTCTAGAAGTGGTAGAATTTTCCGATGATACTTGAGTCGCTGTTTCTGTGGGTACCTAGGTAGAGGCTAAGTTACAACTGCCTCAAGGGACCAACACTCATCTCAGAATGGAGGAAATAAAGAACTTGGTCCGTGGACAGAGGAGGCAGGGTAGGGGAGTGTTGGGAAGATCAGGGTAGGTGTGGTTGAGCTAGAGACAGTATGACTGATTGTGGCAGGAAAGGTCAGAAGCAACCAATCTTCCCTACTTCATGAACTGATCATACACCTCATAGGAGCAAGACATAGCCTCCTTGGAGGTGAGGCATAGATACCCAAAGGTTTCCCTATTTTAAAGCCTATTGTTCTATATCATGGAATTGGGTGATATGGTATAGAAGAAAATACACTGAACTCAAAGGGCTTGGTTTAAAATCTCAGTTCTGCTATTTTCTACCCATATGACCTTGGGAAATTCACTTACCCTTTTTTGGTCTCAGTTTTCTCATCTGCAAAATAAGGATTTTAGACCACATGGTGTCTAAGGTAACTTCTGGTTCTAAATCCATGAGTTTATGTTCTTTTCTAGACAGACTGACTTGTGTAGTGGACAGTCAGTCAGTCAATAAGCATTTATTAAACATTGACTACAGGCCAGGTACTGTGCAAACCTGTGGGTACAAAAGGAGGCAAAGAACACTCCTGCCCTCAAGAGCTTACCTAATGGGGAAGACAAGGAGCAAATAAGTATATGCAAACAAGCTGCATTTAGAATACATCAGATATAATTAAAAGAGAGAAGGCACTATAATTAAGAGGGGTTGGAAAAGGGTTCCTGGAGAAGATGAGATTTCAGTTGGGACTTAAAGGGGTCAGGAGACAGAGATAAGGTGGAAGAGTATTTCAGGCATGGGGGGGGGGCATCAGAGAAAATGCCTGAGCCAGAGTGGAGAGATGGAGTGTATTATTTGTGGAACAGAAGGGGGATCAGTGTCACTGGATCCAGTAACTGTTGAGGAGTAAAGTGTAGAAGGGGAAGTTGGTTACGTAGTGCTTCGAATGCCAAACAGAGGATTTTTTATTTAATCCTGGAGGTTATGGAGCTTGAGTGTATGGGGGGCGGGGTAGGGGCGGGTCTTGACACGATCAGACTTTGGTGACTGAATGAAGATGGATTGGAGCAGGGAGAAACTTGAGGCAGGCAGGTGAGGGAGTTGGCCTAGGAGCTAAGAAGACCTGGGTTCAAGTACC